AGATAGAAATGAATAAAAATACATATGAATAAACATATATATATATATATATATATATAGATAGATAGATAGATAGATAGATAGATAGTTGACGTTGACGATCCGTATAGGCAAAACTTAGGTAGGTTTACTTGGCTCTTTAGGTTCATATTTAGGTTTGCTCTACTTAGCGTATTGAGCAGTTTACGTACTTACTTTTGCTTTACTCATTTTGGAGTGTTTTTTTTTCTTTCTTTGGACTCAGAGCTTGAATTCTGGTCAATTGTTTTCGCCTCAATTACATGTTCTTAGTTCTTTCTTTTCCCTTGGGCATAGGTTTATTCAATTACAAACCAGAATCCCTAAGGTTTGTCCAAACAGAGTATAACTGTTCATTATATATATATATATATATATATATATATATATATATATATATATATATATATATATATATATATATTGTCATCCACAGACTGACTATTTCACTGTATCACAGCTCATCAATATATATATATATATATATATATATATATATATATATATAGAGAGAGAGAGAGAGAGAGAGAGGAGAGCGAGAGAGAGAGATATTGAAAAGTTGACATAGAATCCTAGATAAATAAATATCCGAGCACTTTCGGCTATTCTATTAGCTATTATTGACGATTTTATTACTGAATGTGAATTTAGTTTATGTTTCTTGAGTGAACAGGTTTGATAGCTTTATTAGGATTCATTTAAACATCCATAACTATCAACCATAACATATTTACAGACGATATAATTATAATAGTATCATTTATATTTCAAAAAATGTAAAAATAATGTAAGTACTAATAATAAAAAAAAAGAAAACTAACACTCAATAACACCAACTATAAACACACCCACAGTGTGCTGACCGTCTTTGGAAAATAATAAATCACTCTAGAACAGCGTGTCCCAAACTTTCTCTGAAGTGGAACACTTCAGGTTTCAGAGAATTTTTGTGGGGAACCCCAGAAACTAATAATTTTATATGATCGCAATATAAATATTTTCGTATATTTTTTTATAAATTATAAGTACGTTCAAATAGCATTTAAAAATAATACATATCGATATATTTTTTAATAAAATTGTTATTTTTTTTATTTTCATACTTTACGCAAATAACACGTGGAATAGAATAGAATACATATATATGGAATACATATATATATACACATTCATGCCCCACAAACACCTGCATTTCAACAACTGAACAACAGGGTCTCCCTACACAAAAGCAACATAACATTACCAGACAACCGAAAACTTTTTGTATCACAACACATCTTCAAATGTAACCAGATAAAATTTAAAATTATGTCAATATATCAGACAATTATTTTTACCTACAAATACAAGAAAAAAAACTTGATAAACAAATTTAAACCAGAACTGGAATTACGAACAATGTTAACATTAAATTTATGTCATACGTTAGAATTCTTTGGAACATTCAATAAGAACAAAGCTTCTATTTCATGTCACATATTTTTGGTTTTATATTTGATAGTTTGATTCTCAAGACAGCTTCAGGATTATGTCTACGTCGGTATTTAGATTTTATGGCAGTGTTATAGGAAAATCCACTTTCACATAAGTAGGTTGGTGTTGTGTTTTTAATCAGAATGTATACACACGAAAGTTACGTCCGACGAGAGTCAATTTACAACCAGCGCTTTTTCCAATATGGCGAGAAAATTAACTTTCAAATTTATGTGGCGACATAGTACACAGCTGATATCACAATCAATAACTACTTTTCACTTCAGCAGTAACATGATACAATTATCATTTACTGATATACAATATAGAAAAGTATTACAAGATATATCACAACATTATACAACAATCTAAATCTGATGGCAACTATTTTTTGGGAAATTATTTACGAACGTTGATAATGTGTTATGTTAAACATTTATTACTCTGAACTTTTGTCACGGAACCGCACACATATCTTTGCGGCACATCTGGTTTCCTCAGAACCCATTCTGGGAATGTCTGTTCTAGAACCATATAAAATATCTACACATTTAGTTATAAATAAATAAAAAAAAATCCTTCATATTGGCTAACAGAATGAATAGCCGAAAGCGCTTGGTCAATTTTACACAATTTTATGTACAGAAAAGGAAACCGTTATAAGAATATAAGAAAAATTAAATAAAAAGCTTAATCTTAATACCTTGCCAGTCGTCTTTAATGAAACTTGTATAAAAGAGGAGTTGCTGTCCAAATACACACCATATAGACGATATTAAGACGAACCGAGTTCTCCGGTCTAAAAAATCAATACGTCTAAATTCACCTATATCCCTGCCGTGCGCCAATGGCTTAGTGGTAAAACCTCCGAGTCATAGCAAATCCCAGCTTGAGGCAATCTAGTCAGACTGATGAGCCGTGAAACAGCGAAACTGTCTTCTGTCTGTGGACGACAATATATATAAATATATATATATATATATATATATATATATATATATATAGGATTAATATGAGTAAATGTTTGTCACTTAGCTGATTGACGTTACCTTAAGCATCCCGACTCCAGAGTTTCGTCGACAGACCTCTGCGTTCGCTCTTCCAGGAGTATATAAATATATATTTGTGTAGGTCGATTTTTAAATCAGACTATTCGACAGGTCAACATAGTTCGGGAATTATATCATAAAACTAAACACAAAATATTTTACGTTAAAGTTTCGATTCCTTTTGAGGAAATACAATTAAAAAAAAATTGATATCTTGTTCAGGTGTTTAATAAATAACCACGAAGGATTATTCCATGCTAAGAAATAAGTGAATGTAAATCAATTTAAAACTGAGATTTAATAGTTATTTGATATACTGGAAAAAGGGGAATATATAAAATAATACACATATATTTGTTATAAGAAATAACATGCTGTATAAAATTTTACTTTAAAATAAATTGCATACGTGGAGGTAATATCAATGTATTCAAATCGTAGGTTAAGAAGATCAATTACCAACTATTTTTTAGTTTATTTTTCTCACCGAAAGCAATTAATTCACACAGAATTCAGTAAAACTATTGATAAATTATAAACATGTCGTAATTTATTTTAAGCGATAGTTTAAAAAAAATCCGTTTCATTTGTTATTTTGAATGAGCCGGATTTAAATTTTGTGAGAGATTATTTACCTTTACACCGTTATGTCAACGTGCGTTTTGTTTTTATTTAAATAGAAAGATTTTAAGAAATAGAAGATAGAAATAAAAGATATCAATTGTAATTTTCAAAAGTAAAATATAAATTCACAGCACAGTTTAATTTATTATTATTTTTTAGAGTAATATTTTTTAAAACGTTTTATTAGAATATCTGTAGAAATATGCAATATAGGTGAGATGTTTTCTCTAATATTGGAGCATCTCTTGCTAATGCATTTCTCGTGGATTTACAGGCTATGGGGCATTTTAATCCAGGTTTTGATTTTATAAACATAATAATTTATAAGTCAAAATAGAGAAAAAGACTAAAAAAAAGTAATTACATATGAAAGAAACACTGAAAGTATTTAAAAATCTTGCGTTGTAGCGACTGCTATGTTTTTCCACGCCCATATTTTATTCATCTCCGATTGGCTAATAAATCACTACTGCCTTTCTATAGTACAATTTAGCCATCGCAATCATTGCTTTGAATTTTTCGGTTTTGAACTTGCTTACTTGTTTTAACCAATCACATATTTTAGTGAAAAATCAACTTTTCCCGCGGTTTCGCTGGGAGCCTACCTGTAGCTTTAAATGAGGCGACTTTTTCACAAGACGCCAGTAGAGTCCAGCAAATTTCGCCTGTCAACACAAACCTATGACTTTACTTACAACATTTCAAACGCACACACAGACACTGAATTTTGTTATACATATCTCCCTGTGACTCAGCCAAGTTTAATCAACCAGGACTCTGTTGATTTCTCTAACACAACACACTTTCTGATCAATTGTATTCTTGTGTTATCTATTCTAACAGCAGACTTGTTCTAACATTGATTCCTGAACATTTCTCTGTAAAGAGAACTTTCTTTCGAACAATCAATTACAAATCAGAATACAGTAAAAGGGAGCAACTTATTTTCTCTTAATCTATACATTAGATACAAGTTATTGTATATTTTGTTCTTGTGTGTTATTTCAATATATACTTGTTGATTCGCATTTGGAGTCTCGTTGTTTTCTGGAATCATTAATAATACAAAAGATATATGCAATAATGAACACGTCCATAACAGTGTTTTTCGGAGAAGTTGATGGCAAGATTAATGAAGAAACTTAGCTGTATAAAGAGTCAAAGAAGTTATGGCAGAAATGGTGACATTTTAACTAAATGAAAAAGAAAGGTATCTAGAACTCCATTTAACATTTACTCAAGAGGCATAACCCGAGACTGAAAAATACGTGATCCGTATAGTAATTCCAACTACAGGGTCCACTGTTGTTGCTCTAATAGAAGTAGTTTCAGTGGTTTAGAGTGGTTCCCGGATGATGTATTGGAATAACCTAGCACCCCTATGAGTGGCTACATTATAGGTTAGTAAGTACCTATTAAGTCAACGGACACCGTAAGATTTGCTGGGAATCAGTAAATTACGACTCCAACTTACTCGACAACAATTCGACCTTCCAATAGCAGCACACACTACTGGTTATCTCAATAATCCTTTACTTATTTATATACCGTGTTGTTCCGGTGATATTGCTATTAGCACGGAATATATATATATATATAGATATATAAGTTCTGATCTAAAAATATCGGGGCAGTTGGTAGGATACAGACTGAAGCCGCATGGTACATATCGACCTAGAAGACTGTTGTACAGGCGCACATAGTTATTACATTTTCGCTCAGTTCTGTTGTTTAGGCAATGCTTGGAAGGAAAGTGTGTAGTGTGTGGTCGTCTCATCACACTACAGAGCTTCTGTCACATTGTAGGAAATATCGTTGAATTAAAATAAAAAAAAT